AAATGCATTCTGTGTTTTTCACCTGAATGCACTCTTGCAAAAGTCATCATTCAGTGCACTCAGTGAATAAATAAAATAACCGAGAAGACCCTTGAAATTGATAATAATCAAAAGGGAATAGATTCTGCTCAATTTATTGCAGGTTTTTCTCAAATATTAATGATTCTAAAATTTCATCAATGCCATATTATCATCAAACCGTAATCCAATATTTTTATTTTCCAATGTCCCTCCAATATTCACAAATTAAATCTACATTAATCCCAATTATTCAAACGCCGAGCATTCATTTTCATTAAACTCATATAAAAAAATTGCTAGCTGAATAAAAAAGACATTAAAAAATCATGAGAATGCAAAAATAATTCCGTAATTGGGATTAGGAAATTTCCATAGAATGGCCGGCAAATACTGAATTTGTCTATAAAAATGGAACATTTTCCTGTGCATAACAATTGTCAATGAAATCATATAAAACTATTGCTAGCTGAATAAAAAAGACATAAAAAATCGTGAGAATGCAAAAATAATTCAGTAATAGGAATTACCAAATTTCCAAAGAATGCCCGGCAAATGTTGAATTCTTCCGTAAAAATAGAACAGTCTCCCTTGCGCATAACAATGTTCAATAAACTCGTATAAAAATTACTAGCCAAATAAAAAAGACACTAAAAAATCCCAAGAATGCCAAAATATAATGATTAAACGACGTCTTAAAATGTCATAAGTCCCGTTGGATGTCAACGTCAATTTCCTCTCCATTTGCATCATCCATTGTTTTCCCAAATGAGCTCCCCATTAATCCCACTTATTCAAACGACTATGATCACAAATTTGTATTAAACTCCAATAACAATAATTTCCAATGGCATCCCTTTAACTCAGCTCGCATGCACGACCTAAAATTCCGATCCTTATCCACACCGAATACGTACAGAGTACAAGCAAATATTTGGGTTTGCTTGTACACCCGGTGATTCCCAACGACAATGCGCGTGTACGTTCAGCAAAACGCGTTTATACATTCCACCTCTCCCTCATCCAAGGGCTCTGCAGGCACACCCATAAACCCCGTTCCCCGGACTATAATACACCCGAGGTCCCATGGAATACAATATGAATCTCGTATATGAGCCACACAGGGCAATATGCGACTTCAAACACTGTCGACGAATCGAGACAAAGGGTAGTACTTCATAAAAGACGGAGTTGAAGTGCAAAAACTGCCTCCCCACCCCTCGAAATTGTTTTCGAAAAATGCCAATTTATTTCGACGCCTTCGAATGAAATTAGAAAGCCCAAAATAAACAACAACAAATAAAAATAGAGGAGGGGCGCGTCATTCCCATTCGCTTTATAATTTTTTTTTAAGGGGAGACTACTATGAGTTTTAAAAGCCGTGGGTTATTGGAGTGAGACTTTTAATACGTTGAAGATTGATTATATAGATCTGAAAACGAATAATTAGTGCAAAAAAAAATTTTTTATTGTTCGTTTGCCCGAAAACGCTTAAAATGCTAAAAACAGTGCAAAAGATTTTTTTTCCTCAAAATTTTCGGAAAAATGGGTGGAACAACAATTACGAGCCAGTTTTTTGGAATTCAACTCCTACACAGCTCATTTCTGTTTTTTTCATATAAAAAAATTCACTATTTGTGTAAAAAAATACAAAAAAGCAAATTTAGCCATGCAAGAGGCGCATTAAAGAAAAACTAGCTCGTAATTGTTATTCCACATATTTTTCCGAAATTTTTGAAAAAAAAAATCCTTCGTAGCTCAAAAATTGGAGGCCCAGGACTGTTTTTGGCATTTTAAGCGTTTTCGGGCAAAGAAACAATAAAAAAAATTTTTTTGCACCAATTATTCGTTTTCAGATCTACATAATCGATCTTCAACGTATGAAAAGTCTCACTCCAATAACCCACGACTTTTAAAACTGATAGTAGTCTCCCCTTAACCCAAAGAGAAAATGGAGAATGCTCCGTTTTATTCAGCTCTGTTCTGAGCGTCATAAATACACGTGTGATTGCATCCCCATGATTATTTACAGGGTAGTTGGGGCGTTAGAATTGGTATACGGAGTGCTCCTCGCACCGGAGAAAATGAAACTGAAATTTAATCACCCATGATATATAGCCCACGTGAAAGCCCAGAGCGTCATACACACATTATCTCACTCCCTTGAGCCAAAATCCCGAGTAATCTATCTCTCTTTTGTACACGTGGCGGAAGTTACGAGCCGGAATGATTACGATCCTCATGCACTCGTTAATTAATCCAGCTTGCATTTGCATGGCAGTTATAACTCGGCGATATTCCGGAGGTGAGTCTAGTTTCACTGAGTTATAACTGCATGTGACATGTACCCTCCGAGTCTTACCACAAATATCATCCTCGGATAAAATGGGAGAAGGTAAAAACTAACAAATTGGGAACAAGAAAAATGACGTAAGGAATGGGCGTTGGTGAATAGAGTGAAATAAATTAACTGTATTTCGAGGGAAGCTGTGGAATTCGATGTGGAAATTCCACTGGGATCTCGATGGAGAATCAGGATGGATGAGGACGCGAGGGGAGGAGAGAGAGAGGGGAGACGCCAGGCGTCGGGGCCCGTCGGACCGATCGACTACAAACCCGCTCGCTTACCTATGTCCTATAAACGTTATGGTAATGTTGAATCCCAACGATTCCCACTCCAGACATAAAGAGCCACGATATATGGTCTGGTAATTTCTTAATTGCGAGCCCACGAAAATTCTTGTCATCGTAAAGAGACGCGAGATTATATTGGGAGCCACGAGGCGCCAGTCTACTAGTGGGGGTAATAATTCTTTTAAATATTCCATGAATTCTCGTTAATCTTCGCATCGGGGGTATCACAATGCTGAGGTGAAATTACTCTTGAGGTTTGGGGGGTAAAATGGGGATGTTTTAGTGAGTTGGCTGGAGGCGATTTTTTGAATTTTTTGGGCAATGTTGGAGGCAAAGTTTTTATTGTCACATAAACCTGAGAAATCAAATTTCATTTAATATTCAAGAAAATTGAGTGATTCATCAATAACAAGGTCAATGGAAATTCTATGTAAATAATTCATTGTTAAAAATTTCAAGAGTCATTTTCTAACAGTGTATTTTCGAATCACGAAATTTCGAGTCGAAATCTTGAAATTTTTTACAGCATCTCATTCAGATGAAATTTTTGATTGAAGATCCAATTGAATGTGATGTTTAATCCTCTAGGGAAATTAATTTTAATTTATGAGAATTATTCAATTATAAACGTACTCCACTCAATTTTTCATTCGCTAAGAAAAATAACTTTCCAATTTCAAGTAAAAATCTTGTAATTTCCAAAAACGACTCATTTGCCTGAAATTTCCACATATTTTGCCGCATAAACTCGAAAATTCAATTGAATTTCCTTAATTTCATCAACGAGCTTGAGAATTTCAGCTGTCACCTGCACCAATAGCACGAAAAAATAAATTTCCGAACGTAGAAAAGTTTTTCACTCGGTTCACTTAAAAACCCCAAAATTTTAAAAATTTCTAAATTAAAAAAAAATCAACAATATCCCTGTAAACAACAGAATGAAATCTCAATAACCGCTAATGCCCACCCCCCGAAGAATCCCGAATTGAATTAAAGCGGAGGCGTTGATGTATCACGATGAAAAATTGGCCCAACTCCGCTGATAATCACGAAGGGTATCCCCTTACACCGGCAAGTGGATCACAACCTCACGGAGTGATTTGAGATTGGCAATCTCGATTACACAAGGGTATCGAGTGTATAATACCCCCGGGTAAAGTAATAGCTCGACTTCTCGGAACAAGAGTACAGGTAACATTGGGGTACAGCCGAAAGGGGGCGGGTCTCCGTAGTCCCTCGCCCCGACACATTCATAACTTTCCAATTTTCCTCGATCGATGAATCAAAATGCGCGCCAACCCCACCATAAATACCTCAAGAGCAAGAATATGTCATGCCCCAAAACAATGTGGGAATGTTAAGCAATAAATTACTTACAAAAGTGAAGAGGTTGAACGATAACTTGAGTTCACCTTACTTCACTCATTGTTTTACTAAATCATCGTTCACGTGCAACACTGTTTACCAGTGTCATAACGTGCCACGCTTAATTACTATATAAGCTGGACTCACGAATATTCGGGAGTTCAATCGTTAACGTAAATCAAGCTTAATACTTATTTAGTATCATCTTTGTAATTTCTACATAATTATCCCGTCTGTATAATTATGAGTTAGTTTAAATAAATCAACACCTCTTTTCTCACCAAGTAAAATACCGGATTCTACTATCTACACTGATAGACTGATTTATTTATTCCAAACGAGGTTCGTTAACTATTAACGAATGGTAGAGTTGAATATGACCAAATGAATATTCGTTAATAGTTAACGTATGGTTCACTTGAAAAGTGAAAATCCAGTTGAACAAGGCTCCTCAAATGTGCATTTGTTAACTATTAAAGAATGAGCATTTGGTGAGATCGAATAGACACTCGTCTCCACACTGATAGAATGATTCATTTATTCCAAACGAGATTCGTTAACTATTAACGAATGGTAGAGTTGAATATGACTAAATGAATATTCGTTAACTATTANTATTCCAAACGAGATTCGTTAACTATTAACGAATGGTAGAGTTGAATATGACCAAATGAATATTCGTCAACAGTTAACGAATGGTTCACTCGAATGGCGAAAGTCAAGTCAAACAAGACTCCTCAAATATACATTCGTTAACTATTAACGAATGAACATTTGGTGAGACCGAATAGACCTTAACCTCCAACCAAAACCCATTCGTTAACAATAACTAATCCGTTCTATCAGTGCAACCAAATCCATTGGTTAACGATAACTAATCCGTTCTATCAGTGTACCCACTGTGCGGAGATTTATCTCGAAATAGCAGAACCCAGGGACTCATCCCTAACAAATAAATGAATAAAACAAAGAACGAAGCTCACCAGTATGCGTTCTCTTGTGAATCTTGAGATTCTCCGATCTCGCAAAGACCTTTCCACACCCAGGAAACGGACATGGAAACGGTTTTTCCCCGGTATGCACCCTGATGTGATTGACGAGCTTGTACTTGGCCTTGAATGCTCTACCATTTCTCGAGCATCCCTGCCAGAAGCACGCGTGCGTAGTGCACTCTGGTCCACCCACGTGTTCAACAGTGAGATGTGTGACGATATCGTGAAGTGAATTGAATAGTTTACCGCACAATTTACGCCCGGGGCCGGGACTGTCCTGATCCACCCACATGCACGACATCTCCTGTCTCTGCGAGCTGCCGCCAGTTCTCATGTACCTGAGAAATGCCCCGTGCGGATGATGACTGGGATGACTGACCGCTGGATGCTGCTGATGATGAATCGACGCTGGGGTTAAATGGGGCGCCCCGAGATACTGATGATGCGGTGGTAGTCTGGCGTCCTGGCCATAATGGCCGGGATAGTGGCCCGCCGCGGCCAGCGGGTGCTGTCCCGGGTGATGTGGAAATTGCTGCATTCCCGCTGTCGTGCCGTCATGATGAAGGGGTGTAAATAATCCCAGTCCACTCTCCGGCGTTGTCGGATTGGCTGTTGCGTTGAACTCGTGCTCACGGCGGAGGAGAAAATCACGCGCCGCGTAGGACGGATGGTGGCCCATGTGGTGGCCCATGTGCGGGGTCATGTGACTCGCCGGATGGGGATGATGGGGTGGAGGAGGGTAGCCCTGGGGATGGAAGTGGTGGTGCTGCTGGGATGGCGCTTCACCTGGCACCGGTTGCACACCCACGTTGGCGTCCATCGCCTCTGTGCCACCGGTTGGCGACAACTTTATCCCGAGATTCGCCAGGTGGTGCGGGTGGGAGGACACTGTGTCCAGAAATGTGTTCATCATCGTGGTGGATTTTTTAGGACTGGTTAGTCTCGGTTAATCCCATTTAATTTGCAAACGGTATTCCTGCACGCACTTCACTGCACTGCATGAGTCATTCACAATTATCAATATGGTTGGGGTTTAGCGGGAATCACTGGTAGTGTTTTAGTTCGATAATCACAATTTGGGGGGGAAAAACACCCTGGAAATAATGAGCACTTGAGGGGTTTTAACTGGTTTGTCAAGTGTCAGGGTTGACGGGGCAGCGGTGCATTGGGGGCTGAGGTGACGCTACGCTGTGGCTAGACTCGAAAAACCGAACGAACAGGTAGAAAATCCGTTGTGTTCCTTGCTGCGTTCACAGCGGGACTGAGGTGGCACCGGAGTTCGCACTGCGGGGCGACTCTACGGCGCTCAGGCGAATTCGTCGTGTCGCGGTTGTCCCCACTACGGGCGCTGCTATCCCCACCTTGGGGGACCGCGGGACCGCGGGGCGACGAATGGGGAGACAGCGGAGCAGATACCAGCGGGCGATTGGCGGGACGCGGACCATTGGGTGCTGGAGGGTGTTGGGGAACGCTTCTGATATGTCTCCGTATGTCCGGGGGCGGAATTCCGGGTAGCGCGCATGACGACACTACACCGCCCACCCACCGCCCCGCCGTGGGGCGGGAACACGGGTTATTTCGAAAATAAAAAGGTTTTTTGGGTTTCCGAGCGCACTTTCGGGGCTGGGGGAATCGGTTGTTACGAATGTTTTGATGGTTTTTTATTTGTGTAGGGGTGGGTGGGTGTTCACTGGGGGTTTCGGGTACGCGGAGAGAAATATTCGGTCATAATTAAACAAACTAGCGATACAAGTTTACAGAAACTTGCCGATTTATTGTGTCTCCAAAATAAAAAATTCTTGAACGTTCAACAATTTTTATGAAGCTGGTGGGTTATTTCTACGTTCCGTTCCGTGAAATTTCTCAATCGTTGGGGAAAAATTACGGAACGACTTGTTGTCCCCACAGCGGTGAGTCGTCAGACGGGGGTTAATTTTTACGGAATAAATAGGAGAATTTACGTGGCGGTTCGTACAATTTCAGTTCCGACTCACACTTTTAATCGAATTTTACTTCGCTCGTGGATTACGTTAATTACGAAAGGATTCGTTATTGTCAACAACTACATATTTTGAAATGACTATTTAAAAAATCCTAATGTTTAAAAAGTAGTGTAAATTCTTCCAAAATTCATCAATTCACAACATACTCAACATTCTTCAATATTTAACCCCTTTTGGAAAATTTTTACCTAAAATTTTCGTTCATGAGTTGTTTGAATCGACTTCCACTGCTCAAGTGAACCATTCGTTAACTATTAACAAATATTTACTGCGTCATATTCAACTCTACCATTCGTTACTATTTAACGAATCTCATTTGCAATAAATAAATCATTCTATCAGTGTAATTTTTCCGTTTTTTTCTGGTAATTTTTATTGAATTTTTCTCCCCGGTACGATAACTATCGATTTAATCTCGAAGACGCTGATCTACTTGTCGAATTAATCGCGTAACTCGCCCGTCAATTATCCGGATGAGCGGGATTACGATTTTTTTTCTCTTCGCTTGCTCGGGTGGACTTTGAGGATGATGATGGTGGTAATGATGGCTGGGATTTTCGGGAGACTAATGGATACTGCAATTTGGGAGAATAAATTTTGGGATTGCTCGGTGATTCATCAGGTAGATTTCAAGATGCCACGCTCGGGTGCTGATGCCAATGAGACACTGACCCATACCGATGGTGACAGGTATGAATACACCTCTGGACAATGCCTATATGGCTCGGTTTTGGGAATAACAGCAATTAATGGGTGTAATCCTGGCCACCAAGACACAGGTCATTGTCGGCCAATAAACCCATTGGCCCTTGGGGATTGACGGAATTGGATGTGACTCAGTGACCGAGACATTTGCGACAAAAACCCTTTATAAGGAAGGACGGTTATATTGAGGTCTTCACGAGAAATAAGTTGGCATAACTATTGGTCGTAAACTTTCGGTATTTTGGCGATTGGGGGAATATAACGCAGTGGTTCACCTCAATTTTTTAGCCGTGCGCGGGGAAGGAGCAGGCGAGAAATTCTGAGGTTTGACAGTGTCCGAAGAAAAGGGAATGGAGAAAAGTTTGATAAAAATTATCTAAAAATTTTTTTTTACATAATTTTACTGTACGAAAGTTCATTGGGGAGTGAAATGTAATTAATGAAAAAATAACTGTTTGTGGAGGATATTTTACAATTGGTTCGGTAAAAAAACACATCTATGGATGTAAAAATTATCCTCCTGTACACGGTTAATAATTTTCGTCTGAATTTTCGGTGTCAAATCCCGGAAATTTTTATTATTTTTAATTTCCACTGAAATTTCAGGAAATCTTGTCATTGAAAAATCAGATATTCCATTGATTTTGTGTTCGAATTGTCTGAAAATCAATAAAGTACTTGATTTTTCAGTTCAATTATTCCGTGAAAATTTGGAAATTCATTCACTATTCGTCGCGTGAAGTTAGTCGCTAAAAAAACGCGTTATTTTCGAATTCTTCAAACTCACAAATTATTCCGCGTCAATTGTTGATTTTCTCATGTGCATCATGCACGAAATTGATTAATTCTTCCTTCTCGGGTTTTCATTCGTCACGTACGTTGATGGATCTCAATAATTTCAATTTCTTCGTTGATTCAAACCCATTTTCTGGCTTAGATATAGTTTTTAAGTGTTAGAAAACTGGAAAAAATCTCCTGTTTCTTAGAAAATTTTAGGAAAATGTATTTTTTTCATTCACAAAAAATAAAGAAAATGACGGATCCCTATGAATTATTCACTTACAGTTAAATAACAGCATCATGATATTCAAAAAATTCTGCTTCAGTTTAGTTGTGTAAAATTACAAAAATTTGATAAATTTATAATTTTTTACAGCACATCAAATAAAATGCGATGGGTGAAAAAAAGGGAAACAAAACTCCCCATCAAATCATACGGATGCCCTAATTCCACAATCCTTACCCACAATAAACTAAATCAATTCAAATAACACTAAACAGATTTCCCAAACGATAATAAAGAAAAAACAGTGAATACTCATCATGTAAATTGCCCTAAAATTCACGGGATTACATAAAGATACTTTACCAAGATAACAAGCTCAGAGTCCAGGTGATCTTCAACGATCCAACGCCCTCTCTGCAACAATAAAAACAGAAAATCTTTTTTGAGTGCATTGTCACAGGATCCCGATGGTTTACACTAAAACTACTTTATACCTGCTTCAAACGTGTTCAAACAGTTGTTGAAAAGATCATGTCATGTATTCATTACTCCAGTGCTTGAAAAACCAAGGATAATTATACGTGAACCGAGGGCCCTTTCGTGAAGCATTATCAGGATAATCCTGATCGCAGTTTTTGAGTTAAGTCGAGTACTGGCACACCTTCCGCCCGAGTAGAATGACCACTGAAGGCAGAACAAACATCTTTCTTCGGTGTTTCTAATACTCAACACAGGTGCACCGAAGAGGGACTGAATTCCGGGAATTCCGCGTACCTGTAAATGAGATCCTTGTGGGTGTAATCTCCGATTGTGATCATCGGGAGAGAATAGAAGGTAGAACGCAGATTAATTCGGACAAGATAAGGGAAGATAGCAAATTGAGGGTCCGAGTCGTGTTTTTGGCTGATTGTGGGTGCTAAAAAGCATTGAGAAATGAATTGGCTAGTATCTTCATGGGGCTAATGATGCTTGTCGAACAACAGATCTGATCGACATTGGGGGACATCAGGTAGGGGACTGTCTCCACGAATTAAATAAAAAAAGTTTCAGTCCCCGAAAGGATGCGACTGTTCAGTGCAGTGGGTTTTCACAGGAGTGAATCCACTTGTGGCCTCAATTTACAACTGTTACATTCAATTTAAGGGCAATTGTGGCGAACACAACATTTAGCTTAGTTTGAACAAGATAAGAGAGAGAACTGAAGATAGCTAATCAGGGAATTCTAATCGCAATTTTGGCTGATTGGAGCTGCTAAACATAGTAGGAAATCACTTGGGACATTTGTTGCCTAAATTAAAAACTTTGGAATTGAGTTTGATGATGGAGACAAATATTTGGCTTAACTTGGACAAGATAAGAGACAAGATGCAGATAAACTCGTGTTTTTAAATCATTGTAATCATTAAAATACATTGATAAATGGATTGGCCAGTATCTTCATGGGGTTAATGACGCTTGTTGAACAACAGATCTGATCGACATTGGGCGACATCAGGTAGGCGACTGTCTCCACGAATTAAATAAAAAAAGTTTCAGTCCCCGAAAGGATGCGACTGTTCGGTGCGGTGGGTTTTCACAGGAGTGAATCCACTTGTGGCCTCAATTTACGACAGTTACATTCAATTTAAGGGCAATTGTGGCGAACACAACATTTAGCTTAGTTTGAACAAGATAAGAGAGGGAACTGAAGATAGCTAATCAGGGAATTCTAATCGCACACGCCTTTTAGACATTTTTCAGACACTACCAGAACGTCTCAATAAAATGAAAACTTACCTGAATTTCAATCATGAATTTAAATGTTTAGGCACATGCAGAGAAATTTCCAGTAAAGATTACGGAAGTCATAGCTCGCTCACAGATTACGGAATCGACTCAGAAAATTTGAGTGACGGTATCGTAATTTTTCACAGGAGATTCAGGTAAACATTACGGAACGCTCTGGAAAAATTTCGTGACCGTTTCGTAAAATTTCCTACAACTGCACCTGTTCATCTGAAATTTAGACATTCGTTGTTGCTAGTGGGTGTTAAAAACATTAGGAAATCACTTGTCCACTATCTTTATGGCGCTGACGATGCTTGTTGGACGAGGGACATTTGTGGTCTGAACGTAAAACTTAGACAAACGTTTGGCTTAATTTGGACAAGATACGAGACAAGATGGAGACAACCTCGTGCTTTTCGATAATTGTAATCATTAAAATACGTTGATAAATGGATTGGCTACTTCATGGGGCTAATGACGCTTGTTGAGCATCAGATCTAATCAATATCAGGAGCCTCAGGTAGGCGACTATCTCCAAAATTAAATAAAAT